AGCATGGTTTGTTTATGCGTGCAGTTGTTGGGGCCATTAAAGGTCACGATATTCTGGTCCAGACATAACTATCCGAAGATCAATGCCATCAATGAATAATCAACTGATTAGTCACCGATTATTAGCTTTAAACTAAGAATTGACAGAGATATATCATTAACTGCCCAGTTTTAAGTTGCTTTAAACCTTGAACAGTCATTTCCTTTCACCAGGTGAACAAAAGGACCCTCTTTATTGCTGAGAATGTCTGGAAGTTTGTCTTCTTTGCCTTTCCTTTTTGCGAACTGAAACTTAATATACACAATGTACATGTATGTATTAATATTATTTCAGGCGTACCGGTAGTTCCCCAGTGGTTTTCATAATAGCTAACCTTCTTACATGTACATGGTACACTTGAATTTATACATTGTACATGTATATTAACATAATAGTGGGTTTTAATATGTGATTACTATTTTAGTTATCCCAAAAAGCTGTTGCTTTGAGGAAGTCGTGGACACATGACATGTCTTGCGAAGAGGACGGAGATGAATCAGAGTATAATCCAGACCAGGATGAGGAGTCAAGTAGTGATGAAAGTAGTGATAAATCTTCAGGTCATGAAATGGTGCGAGGTGATTCAGATGAAGAAATTGTGGAAGAGGAATCAGCCAATACCAATGTGAACAAATCAGACCAGTCTAAAAAGAAAGCGTCCAAGCAAAGCGAGGATTAAAAAAGAATGCCCAGTACCCTACTGTCATAAGATTGTTGTTCATCTGCCAAGGCATTTGCAAAAAGTGCATGATTGGCCAAAACATCAAGCTCGTGCTGCAGTATTGCGGTTTAATTTACGTAAGAAATATTCCTTTTCAACTGCAGAGAGTGCAGCTGCTGGCAATAGGAAAGGGAAAACAAATGCTGATGAGCATGGGCAAAAGAGGTGCAACAAGGATTACCACAAAAAGAGATGTTGTCCAATGGTAGGGTGTTCTGCAGTGGTCAAAAGGTTACCTGCACATTTGCAAACTGTTCATGGTTTCAGTCCAAAGTCATCAAAGTACAAGGCCTTGTTAAGTAAAGCTCTTCCACAACCCAAAAGGCCCTATTCAGTTCAGATGATTGAAAAGAGAGCTGCTGCTATCAAGAGAATTGAAACTGAACCACCTATGCCTGATATACCTGTAGTGGATACTGTGAGAAATGATGAAGATGAAGAAATGGACTTGGAAGATTTTGAACAAACTGAGACTTCAACCACATGTGATGTGATTTTAATTGAAGATGATGTGGATAGCAGCAAGAGTCCTGACCCTGAAGTGTTAGTCATGCTTGCCAATTGGTTACAATCGCCGGATGGAGGTAAAAAGATGAGAAAACAGCAAAACAACATGTGTCACAGATAAAAAACATTTTATCTCTGATTGATGCTGAAAGAAGGGTAATGTCGCTTTTCGATTGCTCCCTACTGAATGACAAATTCGTAAAGTATGCGGAACAGAAGTACGTCCCTCAAACAATCAAATCGTACTTCATGAGCCTGCGTCATTTCTACAGCTATGTTTTAGCAGAAAAGCCAGTAATTGATGCCACAACCGAGCTGGTTACTCAGATGATAGAAAAGGTAAAGAGATGGTCTTCTTCCTACAAGAGATCTAGCCAGAAAAGAAAGGGGAAAGATGGAAGAAGACAGGGTTGAACTTGTTACACCTGAAAAAATCCAGCAGTTTGAAAGAAGTCAGACTGGCAGGGATGCTGTCATTTTGCTGGGAAAATTGAGTGGAGCACACAGTATTGAGATCACCCAAAGTCACTATACTCTTCTGAGGGACTTTCTTCTCGTGCAAATTTCGATCGACAATGCAAACCGGGCAGGAGTGCTGTCAAACATGACTGTGAAAAGAATTTGAACGCGGTTACAAAGAAGATGACAGATTCATCATGAATGTTATGAAACATAAAACATTTCATGTCCACGGCCCAGCGCAAGTCATTCTTACTAGCAATCTGCAAAACTGGATCAGTATCTTTATAAAACAAGTGAGATCAAAGCTGCCATATATTACAGCAGAGAAAGAACAACCATTGTTCCCATCTTGGAATGGAAAGAAATTGGAATCAGGCCAAATTAGCAAAGCTATTCAGTCCGTTTGGAAAAAGGCTGGAATTGCAGGACCAATCCACAGCACACTCTTTCAGAAAAGGTGCAGTAACAGTGTGTCACAGCAGCCAGAAGGAAATGACCAGTGACCTCGCAGACTTGATGGCTCATAAAGAAGATACTGCAAAGAGGTGTACAGTGCTATATTACTTGTTACTAGCTTTTCAATCAGTATATTATTTTGTTTGGAACAAATTTTTAGATTTTCGATTTTCAAATTTATTGTGGCCTTTGGGTACATGTACATGTATTTACATTGTATTAGGCTGAGAGTTGCTCTATCATTTTAAAGTGCAGTTTTACAAGAATTAAGGCATTGAGCAATTTCTTAAATGTTTGAGACTCTTGGATCAAATT